ATCTGTATGGCAGGTGAAATTCTATGATAGACACCAGTTTCGGAAAATTTGAAGTGGCCATCCTTTAATGCATTGTGTAATGAAAGTTAAGATTTGTATTAATATTGTATGACTAAAGAAATCTATAATAAAAAGTAGAGTTTGTCATTTGACCTGTTTTGCTTTTTGTGCCAGGACTTCTTAGAATAGCTGACACAGTTTGTTTTGGCCAACGTTATTCATTACCATAAAACACTGAGACATTATTTCGTAATTATGATCTTGTAAACCTTTTTCGCTTAAAATTCTGATATCACTATGGAACTGGCATTTTATAAACCTTACTAAAAATAAAGATAAAAAATAAAATATCTCATTTAAAATCTGTTATCATTCAAAATTATTTTTGGATATTACTGTTATATAAAATTATTTTTTTACTTATCATATCAGTACAGTACAGTACTGATTTGATAAGTATCAAATAACCTTTTGTTAATTCCATACAGAATGGATGAAAAAAAAGAATTCTATTTAATCCGTCAGTCAGATAATAGAAAACTATTACATTTGAATTTTTTTACTTCAATTTAACAAGAAATAGCTGAGATAACAGGTGTTAAAGTCGAGGAGTGGGGGCTCGTTATGTCACAGTTCAGTTCTATAGAAAATGTACCAAAACGTGACGTCATTTGACATTTTAACTCAATGTATCGCCGTTATTTAATGATTACGAAAAAGAAATAAAAATAAGTGTTCAATATTTTTCAAAAATCTACATAAATTTTTACAAACAAACAAGAATTTGTCGTCATCGATAGGTATAGCTCGGTGGCGTAGTGGATAAGCGCCGCGGCCCGCGATCGTTGTCATTAAGTAACTTTCGCAAGGGTCGGTCACGGGATGGGTGACCAAAAAATTATTATCTCTAGCTTACTTCGTGCTTCGGAAGGCACGTTAAGTCGTTGGCCCCGGCTGCATTTGCAGTCTTTAATACTCTCCAAACCCCAATGAGCTAGCGTGGAGGGTCATGGTCCATCCTCCTGAACCGTCCATAAGGAAGGCCTGCGCCCCTGCAGTGGGGACGTAAAAGGGCTGGTGATGATAGGTTTATAAGTTTGATGTACAATTTTCAACACATTTATTATTTTTTAATGAAACTAAAAGACCGATGATGGTGAAATGTCACGTTTACTTTGTGTGTCGTACTTTGCAGATTACCATATCTTCTGTAGGTATTAGTGGTTCGATAGCGCAGTGGCTAACGCGCTCGATCTGCGATACGATTGTTAAGCAACTTTTGCCATGGCCGGTCATAGGATGGGTGACCAAATTTTATCTTAAACGCCTGAACGCTTCGAAAGGCACGTTAAACCGTTGGTCCCAGCTGCATCTTCAAACGTTAATACCCACCAATCAGCACTGAGCACGTTTGGTGGGTCATCGGTCATTTCCATTCATAGGGAATTCGATTCCATCCAAAGGTAAGGTCTGATCCCCAGCAGTGGGGACATTAACAGACTGGTGATGATGATGATCATGCTGATGATTATTAATAATACCTTAAAATGTATTAAAAAGTGAGGCTTAGTCAAAAAAAAACCGTTTTTCGAACAAACACTAAGAAATTTTTACCGTTTTGATATGGGTAGGTTAATTACTTAGTAATTGGTTTGCTTTTTTAAGATTTAGGTTATCACGGAACGGAAATTTATCATTACTGAGCCTACAAAAACAATATTCGTTGCGTATGACAGTCGTGTAGATGCTTACGATACATACAAAAGAATAAATATTATACAATGATATATGATTACATACATTAGGGTTTAAGTTCATAATTATTAGGAATTTTACTGAGTATATAGACAAATAAAACTAATCAAATTTGCCTTCAGAAAGTCAAAATATCGTGTGCGCGTGTATAAGAATACTTGAACCTAATTTGTTAATTCTTATTCTTAAAATAAAACAAATATGTTACATAAATTTTCCAATAAAAACTATTTGGCGGAGTTCACCTTATTTCAACGTTTTCACTTTCAATAAAAAAGTATAAAAATGGTTTTCAACTATAAGACGATACAATGCAAAAATGTCTTCCTTATAAGTATTTCATTTAACCTTTTAAAAAAAACAAAAAATAAATTAAGGCAGGATATTTTTTTTATATGTACTATGAATTTTTTGCTAACCGGCGACTATGCAGGTTTTACTGTTATACTAGATTAACGTCACGCACCGTGTCTAACTACAATTTCTATGCTTTATTAAACACGTTAGATTCGTGATAGCCTTAATAAAATACAGAGCCTAGTATTTGAATACAACCTTGATCAAATAGACTGTGTGTAAAAGTTTCTTTTGCTGATCGTTAGAGAAGCCCCTTGAGTTTTTACGAGCAATATACAGCTACAGTTAAAAAAATATTGTAAAATGTCTTATCTTTTAGTGGCTTCGTTTGCTTGCACGTTGATATATTGATTAAAAAATTCAGTCTCCTCTACATTTTAAATTTCTGTGTCAGATTTTCTCATATTGACAGAAATTTAACCGTAAGCATATAATTGGAAAGTTAATAGCGTATTTGTAATGTGTCTATGGATAAAATAAGTAAAAACTTTTACAGAAGCATTCCTCTTTACTTCCTTTATTACAATTTCAAAAAGGTTGATTTAAATATGTTCCATTGAACATTTCTTTTATTGAACTGAACCTAATATGTTATTTAAATGTTAACATTGTAACCTTTATAAAAAATCAATAGAATACAAATTTATTCGTCTAGAGTTAAAAAAAGCCCTGATCTTTTGCGATCCCATGTAGAATAGAGCAAAAACTCTTATATTTGAATTTTTAATGACGCTCAGACCTTCAGTACCTATCTGGAGGTCATCAGACCGCTTGCTTCAGTTCTGTAGGTTCATTCTGCGCTTACCTACTTATAGTGACCGAATTATAATGATCCGCGAACGTAAGTGGTCTGTCCCCTCGGTCACCCGAATTCGTTATTCGAAAGAGGATTGCGGCAGGCCTTTATAAAATGGTATCCCGTGTTGTGGAAACGGCGAGGTGCCGACCCATGGATCACGCATTCATTACAATAGGTAATGCCGATCCTACGTCACAATGTTTTGTTGTTTTTTATTGAAGCGGGCGTATTGTGCAGTGAAAGAAACTATTTTTCGTTTTAAACATTGTTTTATATGCTCAAATTAAAGTAAGATTTCAGTATACATTTTTCATCCAATTTTATTTTGATTTTAAATTTCACAGAGTTAACGAAATTAGAAACTTGCCTGTGTACTTAATTATACAAAAGCATCTTACACACATGTACATAGAGTAAATAAGAAACTACCAAAGCGAAAAACATCGGGTCCCTTGAACTTTCTCTTATGTTCAAGGTATCCAAGTTTATTCTCATATCATTATTATATTACACATATTGATAAGAGAGAGAGTATAAGGGACCCGATTGTTTTCGTTTATAGTTTTATCATTAAGTGGTCTCTCTGTGCATATGCACAAAATGTTTTTCATTACTAACCACACTAATACAATTTGGACAGGCTCTACCATGAGCTCTACAGTGGTTCTTTTAAAAATACGGCTTAACCATAGACTAAATAGTATATCTATGAGCTTAACAACAAAACCCTTATTACATTTAGAAGTAGGTTTTGTTTGATCGAATCTCTAACGCTGAATTTTGAGAAAATATTGCTAAGTAAGATAGTAGATCGGTTATTAGCGATAAGTCCGCCGATTGTACTATACTTTGTTTATGATTGTAATATTTATGTAATTTGTTTAATGGTGTTTGTAAAACAAACAATAATTCATTTATTCAAAGAGAATGAATGACAGACAAAACGGTTATGTGAAAATACAAACTGCTCAGCTTAGATAGCGTGCATATGTTTTGCATTATTTCTTTGCAGGTTTTCACCAATTTCTTCCAAAATTATAATAAAGCGGACGAAATATTAAATTTGACGTAAATTATTAATCCTTGGTGTGTGGCGGGTATTGCGTTCAGTACCGTGTTTCGCGAGACATGTACTGATTTCTATTATCTACGCATATGTATTAGGAATTTTAAAAATATTAAGATTATTATATTTGTTTAATTTTGCATTCACAATGCTATACTGGAAAAAAATCCTAATAAAAAATGCTTAATAAATCCTGCCTTAGGTACTATGAGATAGGACTCTAAGATAATGAGAAAATATTAAGATATTCATTTGAATAATATTATTTGGTTATTATTTATATGTCTTGTGAAAACAAGTGAATATATATTTGTTACGTAATAATTTGCTACGTTTTCGACTACTAGATGATGAGACAATAGCTCCTAATCGTAATTATTCTAAAAACTCTAGGAGTTTTTAATAAAATCACACCCACCGATTTACCTTCTTGCGATTCTCACCTGTACTATAAAAGAAGCATGGTACAAAATTTTTATTTCTGATCCAAGTACCTACTTAGAAGACTTTTTATTGTCTCTTTATTCTACCTTTGGATTTCTTCAAGTAACTACTAAGTTTGAATAACAAACCTTATGTACTATCGATAACTTCAATATAATACGTTGTATTTTTGATACGGTGTTGAGTTTTTAAGGAGTGAAACTATGTATTACGATTTTGATAAGAAACGAAGTAGCTTTTCTCGGAAAAGATAAACTATATGTGCGATCTTAAAACTGTACAGAAGATTTAGATGGCGGTATATTTGGTGGGCAAGGTCTATGATCGCTAAGGTGAAGCAAATTTACAAAGAACAGTTATAAAAAATATTAATGTTGCACCCCTGATAGTGGCGTCCGGGGCTCACTGGTCCGGGCTAACCTACTTGTCTTCCTCCCAGGGGGCTCTCTGCTTGCCCTAGGAACATAATATAGCTTCCTCTCACAAGCGGTGGGCAACATTAATAGGCTAATGATTCATGACGATAGTTTTATGAAGATGTAAATAGTTTTTACATTATATTTATGTGTTTTTTTGCAGGTAATAATGTCGGACAGAGCTGCGGCCGAGCGCGCGTGTAAAGATCCCAACCCCATCATAGATGGAAGGAAAGCAAATGTGAACCTTGCCATTCTAGGAGCAAAACCCAGAGGAAATCTAGCACCAGGTTAGTAAGGAATTAAGAACTGAGTTTTAGAAGTAAATAAGGGGCTTATTGTGACCAAATTTCATTGCTCATTGCTCACTATTAACCATTATTGTACTGCAGTTTAAAACTGGTACCAGAAATTATGGTAAACATCGGGGTGATTATTATATTTGATCAATACGTTGTCGTCCTGCCAAGTGCGAATTAGACTCGCTCATGTAGGGTTCCGTACAGGAAACGAGCACAAAAATCACTTTTGTTGTATGGTTTTTAGAATTTGTTGTTGAAAATATATCTGTGAAAATTACAACTGTCTAACTTTTACGGTTCATGAGATTCAGCCTGGTGACAGACAGATAGACAGCAAAGTCTTAGTAATACCCAAAAGATAAAACGGGATCTTTTGGGTGATGAAAACATGATCACAAATTACTTATACTTGTTTTTGATTAGGTTTAGGACAATAAAATATTTTCGATAATACCGTCATGTATTCGTGTATCTTATAGCCATTTTAATGGGATTTTTATGATGTAACGTAGACATTACTCCTAGTTAAATAATCGTGTTAAAAGTTTATGTGTTAACCAGATTGCTTTTCATTAAAATTATTATTTTTAGACAAATGCCGGCCATAATCCAACTGGCAGTCATGTAGGTCTACGTTAATATAATAGGTTTTATAGAGTATTTGTTATCGTAAGAAGCAGAATTTTTATATATAAAAAAAAATTTGATCTATTTACTGCCGCTCCACTGTCACATATGGTCTCAGAATTGACCCCCCGTAGCAGTGAATGTACACACGCGGTGTTTTTCAATTTTTTGCTCTCGACTTATGTCAGTAAGTTGGCTCGTCTATACAGTACTGCTTTATAAATATATAGTCCGACAGCGTCGCATAAAAAACGCTCCTTTTACAAACAGCTGAGTGATAATGGTCTAAGAATTTAGTTCGGTATGAAATCATAAATCCGGATACTAATAAATTTGTTAAATTATAGAATTGAATGGATGATATAATTATTTCTCGTTACGTCAGTTTAAAAGTAAATTAACACAAGTGTTTTACGTATTTACTTTGGGTAAAGTACGAAATATTTTCCATTGGTTTTTCCACTGTTTATTACACAGTAACTGCTGCTTTTAATTTATATGGATAAAATTATATATCTATTACTCTTATAGAATGTCGAAAATTCTATAAATTCAGCTCATTTTCTTATCTATACAAATGAGTATGTAATTATAAAGTTAGTACCCCATTTTGAGAATATTTAAACGCCGTTGTTCCCATTATTAGAAAAACGGATATAATCTTGTGTATATTGATAACAGTGCTTTTGGTGAAAGCTTATTAAACAAACATCTAACACCGATCTTATCTCGCGTGACAAAGATTTACTGAAGCAGGTAAGCTATGCCCTTTGCAATGTAAACAATTAAGAAATGTTACCCTTTAGTGTATTTCGTTCCCTTTCATTCAATTTGCTTGGAAGTGACTCGGCAATTTACATTGCGTATTCTTACACATACGAAATAGGGAATTGGGTTATCAATAAGTAATCAATTGGTTAAATGGAGTGGAGAGAAATGTAAGTAAGTTTTATAGGAATTTGATAACCTTTTTAAAGTACTTTGTTTTTAGAAGCCCAAATTAAAAAAAAAAATGATATGAATGCTTTTTATTAGCAATCTAAAGACACCGGTCAAAGGTTTTTTGGTGTGTTTCGTTTTAACTCGCTGTCCGGTTTTAATTGAAATTAGATGTAGAGATACTTTGAAGTTGGAGGAAGGAGGATGGATATTTTAATTTATCAAAATCCAAAATATTACAATTTAATCACGCTTAAGAACATTTTTATAGAAGTTAGTATCGTATTACCACTTTTTAAAACATTTTATGTAACAAAGTAAATGAAAATTAATACAAAAAATTGATACCTATTCGCGATGTTATTAATTAAATAGTTCACAAACACATCGAAATCCTGAAATGATGCCGTTATCAGCACTCGATTAGTTGACGATAGGATATGATAATAAAACGTACCCAGATAATAATATTAACTGCCAGTTATCTTCTAGTACTTGTGTGTAAATCAAATTGAGTGACCAATAAGTTTCTATATTTGGCAATGACAATGTGCCAAATCCCCAAGCACTCACGCAATGTGCCCACTGCTGTGCACACGCCAAGGTGGAATATAATAGGGGATCCACTACCCCGACCCATAGATGGTTACTTACGACTGCAGATACAGCCGGTACCAACGAATTTACATGCCTTCCGAAGGACGGAGCCTCCGTGCTCAGAAAACTTTGATTAAAATAACTTATTAGTGTTATGTTAATAAATGTATTAGAGGGCTTAGTAAGATATTAGTATGGGTTTCCATAGCGTTTCTAGCGCTGTAAGTATAAAGAACTACAAATCTCCACGCAAATTCTAAACTCACTCACTGGTGAAAGCGTTAACATATAACTTCCTCAAAACTTAGATATGTATATGAACTATGAACAGCGGGTTCAAATGCGTGGTTTACATGAAAACTTGACAGTACATTTATCCCTAGGGAACTGTTTAGTGGTATAAAAATTATAAATTAGCCTGTAAGTTAATTCAGGCTTATAATTATCCATATATCGAATTTCGTCCAAATCCTTTCAGTAGTTTTTGCTTGAAATTATAAGAAACATATTCCTCATATACTTTCGTATTTATAATATTAATAATATGAAAAGTCTACACATTATCAGAAACAATAGAAAATATTATGATAATGAATCTCGTTAGGTGTCAGTTTCGCCTTCGTTGATTTCTCGCATACGACGAATGGACGGTTTGTTGATCGCCTAATGGCCTACGTCAGTATTGTGAGCTCGGCGCAGTTTTTATACCTCAATAAAACAAATTTAAATGAACGTACGTGGGTACAAACTGACGTGTTTCGCGCTGTGATTAGAACACTACAGAACGTTTTTATTATCAAACTAGTAGAGTTTCTAGGACAAAATAAAAGCGTATGTGATCAAATTCGAATGACACAGAACTTAGAGACAAATTTGTGTGGAAAATATATAAATTACAGATTTATTCAAAACAGTAAAGTGTATACTAAACAAAATGACACATTTAGTACAATAACAATCTAATCAAATCTTTTTTGATGCTCATTAGCTGTTCTCAATATTTTCGATCATCTCTTATTTACTGACGTTGCAGACAGTAATTTTAAAATTTCTAAAAATACCAAATATGTTTGTTATTTCAAGTCTCTTATAAGTGAATCGCTGATCAAACGTTTAATAACTAGGCATTTATAATTTTAATGTACCTTATCGAGTCCAGTAAAGTTTTTATGAATCCATTAAACTTAAATTATATATTTTTACTTGCTTACTTAAATTACTCATGTATAATAACAACATAAAGTTAGATTGTTGCATTGTAACAATCGAGCGGCTCCAGAATTGATACCGAACGGAACATGCAAGAACAAGGGCCCGCCCCCGCCGGAAGCGGCTAAACGCTCGGAAACGGAAGTGCTCGGTGGTCGACAGGATCGTTAATTGATTGTTTTCTAAGTGTCGCCAACCCTTACTTGGTATCGCTGGCCACTGGTGATTTGATTCATAAAGATAGAGATATCACAATAAAAAATATATTGTCAGTGAATAAAGGTAGATCATATATACTAAAAATGAAATTATGGAAGACTAGCGGTTTTCCTCTGACTTCGGTCGCGTAAATAATAGCCTGTGACACCCGTGTATGATGTAGTAGTATTAGGTGGTGATAGAATTATAAATCAGTCTTGTAGTTTCGGAGCTTTTGCAAGCAAACATATGATCAAATCTTTCCTATTTATAATATTTGCATACCTACTTACAAAATAATCAAACGTAACTTTTTTGTGCAAGTGAAATAATCCTGAATATCGGTCCACTAGTTTCGGAGCCTATTCAATGCAAATAAACGTACAAACAATCAAATCTTTCATCTTTAGAGATTTATCAGGATAATTAATATTATTATTATAATTCGCATAAATAAATTTTACATTTTTTAGAATATTATAAACAATGATCATAAAACACAGTTTTAACTTAACAAATGTTTAATTATAAAATTTATGCCAGTAGGACTCGTGGTCGGAAGATTTTTGTAACATGTTGCAAGTTCCTTGACTCATTTTTATACTATACAATTCTTCGTCATTTTTTTGTGCGAAACACAAACTTTGAATGGAGCAGCTGATTGCATACATACTGTAAATGTCTGAGACAACCATAGAGATTTATTGGGCCAGAGTACCACATCCTCTTTCTCGCTCGGTTTACTGTGGAGGTCGCATTTATTGTTCCAAAATGCGCACGGTCAGTTTTGCTAACGTTTACTAGCAAATTTAGATCTTATGTTCACCATTAACAATTCGAATTTAGACTTTAAAAAGAGACGTTACGGTGTAGTGTTGTATGAATGAGGAACATTTGCGAGTGTTTGTGGGGGTCGGACTCGTTGAGTACAATGGGTGCGTGCGCGCATGACGGGCACCTGGTGGTGGCGTACCGGCCGCGCCATATGCCTAACACCCAGCCACATTTCGCTTACCCACGACCCGTGGCAACCCCAACGCAGTGCGTTACCAATTTCTAATTATGCGTATTACAACAAAGGATATGTAATTTGTGGACACATCCTCTTCTATAGAGACTGTTTTTTTTTACATATATATTATTTATTTATGGCATAAAAAAGGAAAGGAACTTTTTGCCTTTATTTAAATAAATCGTAGCAAATGTCTAGTTAGTCGCGTGAAAGTCTGAATGAGTCAGTTCGAAATTTGTTACGAAAATCGTTTTATAAGATGATCAAATGAAGCGTAACAAAACATTTGGATGAAACCGTACCATACGTATTGAAAATAATGATTTAAAATATTATTACATAAACGCCATTTTAGGATTTAAAGGGGAAGTGGTTGACAATATTTATATCTTTTTTCTTACAAGAG